CTGAAATTAACATGTAACTGTATATTTTTAAAAGTTACATGTAAAAGAGAGTTGCCGGCACAGTGGGCTGCTCGTTGGGCTGCTAACTGCAAGATCAGCAGAGTGATTTCACCTGTCACGTAGTAGAGAAAGCTGAAGCCTTCTGCTCCGTAAAGATTCATAGCCTTGGAAACCCAAGGGGGCAGTTTGACTTTGTCTTTGAGGCTTGCTGTGACTCAAAACTAACCAGATAGCAGTGAGTACATTACACCAATTGATTGAGATGTCCCAGGAGACTCGGTCCTAATCCGTCTAACACAGAAAACCAATCTCATGAGGTGGTTGGTAATGTCTAATAAGTACCCATAGCTGTGGCCCTATGTGCTATATTATGTGAATGTGCATAGTCACATAGCTATACATACACATGCATATGCATGTAACTATATATGCACATAGGTGCATACATACTCATACACATATGGCTAAAGCAAAGATATATTGACTGGATTTCCTATGATGAGTTACTCAGCATTTGACCAAATCTAACCAAATTGAAACTGGCATTGATTATATTCTTGACAATGAATGAACATTCGCATTCTTCAAAATTCTGTGGAAAAATAGCATTGAAAAATAATGGAACTTTTTCATGAACACTTTTAAGCTACCATTTATAATTTTAATTGTCTTTAATTGCTTCTGTCATTAAATTGTTTTTTGTTTATCAATAAGAAACATAACAGGGACCAGATGGATCTTTTATACTTTTAAATTTGATATTTTAGAGTATAAAGTAGTCCTTAATTATTACCTATCAGTATACCTAAATCCCTGCTAATTGACACAAAAGTTGAACCCAGTAATGCTGAATTTTTTTAAGTGATCTTTAAGCCTGAGTTTGAGGATTTGATCTGAATATCCCAACATAATATAGTGTTATCAGTGGATCTTTCACTCAATCATTCAAAACAAACCTTCATGTCATCTCTGAAATGAGCACCTGGATAATATACTCCATTTCTTTCTCAAAGCAAAACTGGGTTTTATTGAGAGGGGAGAGGATGTGGGGGGAGGGGGAGGGGGGAGAGAGAGAGAGAGAGAGAGAGAGAATGTGGGGGAGGGGAGGGTTTTTCCCACAAGGCACAGAAGAACAAGTTATCCCAAAACCAAAGGACTAAGCTACTTAATTTTTAAACATAGTATTATGAGAAAAACATTATTTGGATCAGTTATTTTTTACTATAAATAAATTTGGGGTATAGATCTAGTCTGTTTGTCAGTATCTTTACAGTTGCAAAATCTAGCTGTAAAACTACACAAATAAATGGCTGACCTTGGAAAGCCCTTGGATCCCATGCATATGAGCAGTAAACATCTGTACCCATTTCGTGGCTCCTCATTCAATTAGGCTCAGGCCTTCAGTTCATTTAACACCTGTGCTTCCCTGAGCTCCTCTGACTGAGCCAAGCAGGATAAATGCAATCTGGAAAAGCACTGCCCTCCTTCAGCCAAGAACATCTTACCGAGTTCACACTGGTCCCCGCTGTATCCTGGCACACAGGTGCACACGTAAGAAGTGTCAGTTGGATAACAGGTGCCTCCGTTAAGGCATGGGTTTATTTTGCAATGATCAGGTCCTATGATGTTCAGGAAAATAAGAAAAGTGGTTAGGCTCATCGCTGAGGTTTCTATATATTTTAGCCAAAACAAAAACAATGCCACTTACTGCTACCATCACAAAAGCTTTACCGTAGTAATTTAGAGATACTACACACACAAATTAACATTAGCTTTACTCATTGGAGTGTTTCTTGATATTATAACAAATTTCTACAAATCGCATCTATTCTTTTCTGAAATTCAATCAGCATTATTTATAAACAATAATTTGCACGTTATCTGGCAACTAATATATTCTACTGCAGATTTAGTTGGCATGATAATGGTAATTGATTTTAGTCAAAAATGATTACACATGTGTACAGTGAATGGAAAATGTATTCTTTTAAACGAGGTTAGTTCATGTGAAATGGCTGGGTACACAAAACATGCATACTTTTAGCAGACTGGCTGGTTACCATCATTTGAATTATTATTGCCTTTTACCACTTAGAAACTGTTTTTCTTCGAAAGTGTGCACTGTAGATTCTTCTGCTACATTAACATGCCTTTTCCAAAAACACGTTCCAAATGTACTCCTTTAAACTATACTTGAAGAAAAGCAACAGATGGATTAAACTCTACTGGATAAAAACAAACCCAAATACAATCGCCTGGCCTAAAATGAAACCCCAAGTTTTTATTACACATTTCTTACTAAAACACAAATAAAAAAAACACTCCTAGCAACTAAATGGAGAGGCTAAAGGTGAAACCTAGAACAGTTTAAAGTATATTTCCTAAATGCAAACGGTTGGACACAATTGGGATGACAGTTCATTTTGTAGGATTATTTGCTAGTTGTATGTACATTAGTCACTTATGGGTGTCATTTGTTTCCTTGGTTGGAATTGCTTCTGTGTCAAAAGATTCAGGTATCCAAACGAGAATGACAGGTTTCACAAAATAACTGAAATTGATTATATGCAGAATCCAACCCTATTGCCTGGGAGAAACCTAAATCCCAAAGCCCTAAACTAATTTCTTTTGGAAAGAAGACACCTGACTGATTAGGAAACATTAAATTAAGGAATCTTAGAACAAACAAGGAATTTCTCTCTGAGGTTAAACGGAGCCTTTTCAACATTGGGAAGTGAAACTGTCTGAGTGTTAAGTAAATTCCAAACTATTAGAAAGACTTGATATACATGTTGAGGTTCATGTTAAAATTAGGTTACTTTTTCTCTTATTTAGTGGTTTTAAAAATAGCCATTTTACTTTTTTATCTTTCTCCATTTAAAACACCTGGTGGTGACGAGGCTACAATCCACCACAGATCTATATATTACCCTCTGTGCAAAATCGCAATGCTCCTTCTCTGCAAGGCCTTGGTAAAACTACACTGTGCCCACAAATATTAAACCCTCTCCCTAGTGCCACTCCACAGACCAGTGCCAGGCCGCCAGTATGAGGCCAGGGTTTGGCAAGAAAGCGGCTCTTTCTGTGAACTCGAAGCGGCTCCGATTAGGAGAACAGTTTTGTTTCCTCGTTTGTATTCTTTCCTAAAGCATCTGTATGAACCTCCGCAAGGGCAGTCTCTAACAGACAGATCAGGCACCCTCATTGCCGCTTCTGTTTACTGCATTCAGTGACATGTACAACTGAAACCAACTCACTGCCTCCAGTCGGTTCTGACTCACAGGGACCCTAGGGACAGGGTCGAACTGCCCCGAGTGGGTTTCTGAGACTAAACTTTTCCAGGAGGAGAAAGCCTTACCCCGAGAAGTGGTGGTGACTCCCAACTGCTTGGGATTGGCACCCCAAAGGATTACCTCTCCGCCTCCAGGGAGTGCAACGCATGCGCAGCACAGTCTCCTTGAGCCTGGAGGACTGTGCAACGTGTACCTATTTCCTTTATCTCTAAATATCCCTTTATTGTTACCAATTATTTCTATCTCACAGTTTTCCCAACCTGAATTATATTTCAACTAACAAAGAATCACCATTGGCCAGAGGATTTGATTATCATTTACCGATTTAAGATAAACAATGAGAACAAAAAATGGCAATGTAAATCACCTTCGGTCAGGACTATTCACAAAATACTTCAAGGCTTTCCTAAAAAGTGCAGGGCTGTTTTACTCTCGCTGAATCACATCAAAATGAAGCAGTTAACCCAAACCAAGCTCAATAGCATTGAGTGAATTCTGACTCATGGTGACCCTGTAAGACAGGGTCGAATTGCCCTTTTTGGGTGTAGAAAACCTCATCTTTTTCTTGTGGAGCAGCGGGCAGAATTGAGCAGCTAACCTTCCGGTTAGCAGCCCAATACATAACTACTACACCAACAAGGCTCTAAATGAAGCAGTAGACGCACAAATGTAATACTGATCCAATCAGAAGAATAAGTGTAACTTTAGTCATGCTGTAAAGTATATTCCTTAAAATTTAAAGTTCAATTTCAACCAACAGGATGCTTAAAAGTACTGATTCTCCCTCACCCCCCACCCTCCAGCCCCCAACTCCTTGATAGCAGCTAAATGATGTTGCCTCCTTCTCCACCCCATTTACATTCTTACTTAAATAATAACTTTCTTGGGAAACATAGTAATGCCAGCTTCTCAGTAGTCTCGGGCTTAGTTAAAAAAGAAGACTAATTCTAAAAAGCAATCATCTCTAGCTTCCTGGTTCTTGTATCATCAAATATCTATTCCTTACTGCAACAATGTTGGAAAACGTCTCTAAAGAGCATGGACTGATTTGGACCCAAATTCCACTTTCACTGTTTTCAAGCTGAACATCCGTGGGCAAATCACTGAGCCTTCTGAATTGCTACGTCCGAGACTTTTAAATGGGAATAACAACACGGGTTTTACAGACTTTTTTTTGCAAAGATCAAGTAAGGTGACCGTTATGAAGCAGGCTCAAATGTGTGCATTTTGTACATTCAGCAAACACACAAAATTTCCCGTTTAGGCAAGGAGAGTATAAATGTGGCCCGGATAAATACCCACTATGACTATGTTCGAAGCATGTGTGGACTGACTGAAGCCAAGAAATGACATAAAAGAACAGAGAGCTGATACTGCACAGAGTATGAAAAACATTTTGTACAGGGATTTACTACGCTCACAAAATGAAAGAGCTTGAAAAGTTTGCCACAATCATACCCAAGACTGGGAGATTTAGGGGAAAAAATAGGATTTTGTGATGGGTTTTAAAACTCAGATGCACGGCTACAGGACATAAGGGAAGCAATACAGCAATATTTTACTTGTGAGTAAAAGCAAAATATACCACTAACAAAAGTTTTCAATAGTATCCTTTTTTAATGTTCTAATCATATGTTGTTTTTCAAACCTTGAATAAAAAACCCCTGACATTTCTATTGAGAGCCCAGAGGTAACCGATACTTACTTGAACTGCATCATGTTAAGCACTCTATACCCTGACCTGCTCAGCTGTCACGTGAACCGTGGGAAAAGTGGCTTTACCATCACAATGACGATTTGTAGACATCTATGTTAGGACCAAGCAACTGTTTCCAGGTTTGGAAGCAGATTTATAAATAGTGTGGCCTTACCTGTTAAATAGACTGCGGTGCCTTCCACTGACTCTTCATTAATGCCAAGCAGGAAATCGCTTTCATTAGAAGTTTCCCAAAGGGAAAATGACGGTGTTGCTAGCACGGTATTTAGCTCCGCAGTGCTTACTGTGGCCTGATTATTGGAATCAAGAATTCTCACCGGCATTTGCTGTTCTCTTGCTAATACTGTGGAATACTTCTCTTCGGTCAAAGCTGCTTGTGTTTCGGGGTCGACTTCCAGAGAAGGAACAGTGGGCTTCTCAGTAGTTGGTGGGCTGGGCTGAGGCACCACGCTTGTCTCAACTCTGTGAGTCGCAGGAGCAGAAGTGGAATGAGGCCACTGTGAAGCACCTTCTGGGTTAACTTTCCCTGGAGCTGTGACAACCATGCCAGCCTCCTGCATGCTAGGATTGGGGAGCTCTTGGCCTGCTCCTTCAGGAAGTGGCACGTCGGTTTGGTTATGGGGGTCTTGGAGAACCTCAAATCTTGCCTCAGCAATTAGTTCTGTGGGAGAAGCTTGCACTTCTTTTACAAACTCAGGTGTACTTTGGCCTTCTGAAAGTTCTAATTCCGTGCTGGGAGATACAAATGGGGGTTCGGTTGTGTGCAAGTACTTGCCATATAGTGGCTTGAAAGTTGCTTCAATATTTGCATAGGATTGCTTGACAGAATCTTCTGTCGGCATTTGAGATGCTCCCAAATCTGTACCAGGTAGAGCACGTGGCTTTGTTTGTTCAGAGGTCCCACTGGCTGCGTGGACAGTGTCTGGAGAGGATGGTGTGTGAGAGGACAGCTTTGCCAAAGTGGAAATGGCTAGTGTTGTATCCGGATAACCGGTGGGGTTGGATGTGTCCAGCACCACAGGTGCTTCAGTTAAACTCTGAGTCACGAGGTGGCTACTGCCCATACTTACGTAGGGTGTCTGATCTAGCAATGCTTCCTCAGTTCCCGAAGAGGATTCTGGTTCAAATGAAGGGCCTACATCTTTCTTTTCTTCATACTCTTCCTGTGTCCTTTCCAAATAGCCCAGTGTCACAATTATTTCACTTTGGTCTGCGATGGCTTGACTATCAGACAACGTGCTTGATTCAAAGCTGTCATCCAGGAGTTTTGCTTCCATTTTGGGCTCGCCAATCTCTGGATTAACTGTGGCAGCCTGACTAGGAGCGGGGAGCGATGCTGCTGTGGGAAGGAAAAGAGCTAAGTCTGTGCTGCGAACAGGTATTCCAGTTGTGAAGAGGAGAGCTGGGGGATCTACTTGGCTTCGGTCTTCAGCTGTCCTTGCTTCGTTGTGTGTTGCCTGAGGGTAGCTGGCTAGAAGAGGGTCCCCAGACCCCTCCAGTTGCTCTTCAGGTAAAGACACTTGAACTTGGGCTCTTTCTTCATTACTGCCCTGTGGCCCTCCTAGTACTTCTGCCTCTGGATCGGGTTGCATTCCAAGGATGTCTTCATATCCAGGTTTCGTGTGATCAATGTCTATGATAGTATTTTTATCTGGTGTCAGCTCAGGTGGGATTTCCAGTATGGTACGCTCTGTAACTGTCAACAGTAAATCTCTATCCTCATTGTCCAGATCTAGAATAATATTTTCAGTGGCTTTTCTTCTGTTGGGCTTTACGGTGGGATTCTCAAATACTTGGAAACCCTCTGAAAAAATGCCTGCAGCGCCCTCTGTGGGGCTCTCATACATCTGTGGGTGGGAAGGGGCACTACTTGAGTCAGGAAAGCTTGCATTCAGCTCTGAGGGAAGAGAAAGCACCACGGAAATGGTTGGGAATCCATCAGCAGCAACCACTTTCACACCAGGCCCCTCGGGATGTTTTCCTGGGGACCCCCTCCACACAAATGTGGTGCTTTCTGGCCCGGTCGCCTGCGGAGCTCCGGAAGTGTGGACTAAATCAACCATACCGAACTCCCCGGATCCTTCCCCAGAATGTTCATCAGACAAGTCGGATGGTGCTGGTGTCGCAAAGCCTCCGGTTGTTTCAAGAACAAGCATTCTCGTCAGAACAGCAGGAGAGGTTGCGGTTTCTAATTTTGTGTCTGCTGTGGAAGCGGTCTTATCGAAGACCTGCCCAGCCATCGTCTGTGCTCTACTGGTCTGGGCTTCTTTCTCCCACCCAAGGGTCTGATTTTGAGGATGGGCGGTGTCCGCGGGGAAGGTGAGGGACGTCCCTGTGGGGCCTTCTGCTCTGCTAGCACTTAAAATCCCCCTTACGGTGGAGCTGGCTGTGGTCTGGCCACCCACAGAGGTGCTGCCGGTTTGGGGAATGAGTGTTCTCACTTCACGGGCTACATTGTCCATTCCCTGGTCGTCGTCCCTCTCATCACTTGAGACTCTTGTTTCTAAACTTCCTCCTGGAGATGTCTGGGGATACAATGTGCTAATGATTTGCTCCAGTTCAGTAAAATTCACTGTTCTTGTAGTCAGAGTAGGTACAGCATCTTCTCCTGATCCCAGCCCAGAGAATATGAGATCGGTGTCTGACACTTTGGTGGGTGGGCCCACCACTTGGGGAAAGAGTTTCATAACCTCTTCATCTTTGATTGGTGAATCTGTAACGATACTTTCAGATGGTATAGATTCAGTCAGTGAAGCGGTAGTTGAGGGAAAATGTGATTTCTCAGTAGCTTCTGAGACAGCAGTGAACGGCTCCAAGCCCTGTGGACCTGGTGTGGTCACATGTCCTAAGGGAGTGACTTCCCCCTCCCGGTCATTGTCACGACTATCAATTTTCTTCGTTGCCAGCATAGAATAATGTGTGGTGAGGAGTGTGGTTTCAGTGGATGTCTGTGGATCAAAACCTGCTGGTTCTGGTGTCACAGAGCTTTGAGGAGATCCAAAAGACTCCTGTTCTTTGGTCTTTTCCGCTGATGCGGTTTGGTTTGCCATGCCTTGTTTTACGGGGTTGACTTCTTCCCTGGACCATAAATTGGCTGGCTCCAAAGTTTGGGCAAAGTCTGCTGAAATTGTGCCCTCGGCCATTCCTTCTCCCACTTCTGTTGGTATTTCAGCTTCTGCTGTTGGTACAACCGTGACTCTCTCAACCGCTTCCGTGGCAGCTCCCAGTTCTCCCACACCTTGGTGAGTACGTGGGAAAACTGTACCGGAAGTTTGTCCCACAGCACTGGGCAACACTTGACTAACCGAACCGCCGGTAGAGATCAGTTGCTCACCTGAGCCCTCACCTGAAGCCATGAATTCTTCCCAAGGAAAGGGTGAAGAGCTGACCACCCGGTCCCTGGCTCCTTCCCAGTCAGGCTCCTGACTGGAGTGACCTGAAGCAGGGACTGCAGAGGCTGAGGGTTGAGTCTCCATAAACAATGCATCTCCAGAGCCGTCCGTTCCTATTGTGTCTCCTTTTGTTGTGGGATGAGCTACCAATGAAGAGTCTCCGAATTCACCACGGGGGTCTTCCCCTACAGGAAAACCTGTAGGAGCATCACTAACTTCTACCCCATGACCTGGCCCTCCCGAGACCTCGGAGGTCAAGTTTTCTTGGGCTGTCTGACTTATCATTTCGACCCCCTGTCTATTCGTGACAGTGCTCAAAATGAATCCTGTTGGCTGGGATGGGAATGTGTTTTCCAAAGAAGAAGACAAAGTACTAGCTGCTTCCTTTGGGGTTTGAATATCAGGCGCAAAGTTTAATGAAAATGAAGAGACCGTGGTTGCTTGTGGATCAGCAGCAGTGTCTCCAGATCCCTGCTCCATGAAAAGAGAGACAGGGATATCTGGCCCAGTGGTCAGGCCTCCCTGAACGTCAGGTAGACTCCCACTGCTTGGCTCAGTGCCTTGTGTCCCCATCTCGTCGAAAGCATTTGTTTCTGTAAAGGCAAGAGTCAAACTTGTCCGTTCCCTTTCAGACTCCGTGGGTGCTGTTGAGGACACCGTGCTTTTCCAACCAGCAGAGGCTGAATCCTGAGCTGTCGTTTCACTTGAGCCTTCTAATTCAGAGGGCAGAAATAACTGATCGACTCTCTGTGTGGGTGACTGCTGCTCAGTTAGCGAAGCTGTGCTTGGAGCGCTCTGCTCCTCCGCGGCTTTTCCTGTCGCTCCATGAGCGGACGTCCTGAAAATCCATTCAGATGGGCTAGTTTCACTGACAACTTCAGTAGGCACTATTTCTTCAGACAGTTGTTCAGAAACAGAATAAAAGGTGGGTACAGGAACATCAGAAAGGCTTTCTGTGGTCGCTATCTTGCTAGTAACAGGAGTACCTTGTACATTTGTGGTAGTTTTCTGGGATAAATCAGTTACCACAGAGAACATTTTATTTTTATCTTCTTGTTCTTCTCCAGAGCCTTCTGGCATTAGAATGGAAGGAATCACTAAGCGCTCTCCAATAGGCCTAGAAGTTACTTCCACGGAGTAACTGGACAGTGAAGCAAGTGGCTGGGAATTTGGTGGTACAGTAAATGCTTCTTCTTCTGAAACCTTGGCTGACACAGAACTTGGAATTATGCTTGGTATGCCGGTAGTGGACGTGCTTTTGTTTGCCTCTTCACCCAGTGTTAATTCTGTAACCCTTGGAAAGACTACTTTCTGGGATTCTGGGTCCATGTCAGCATTTCCTGAAGATTCTTCAGGAAACACAAGTATTGGTTCAGTATTTTCATGCGCAAGATCATCAGGTTCAGGGTCGCTGTGTGTGACTGAGTCAGCTCCCTCTGTGGTTTCTCCCTCCTGGAATTGGACTGTGGGAAAAATATCATGCTCACCACTTGAAAAGTGTTCTGGTATTTCAGGGTAAGAGTCAGGCTTCCATGTAATCTCAAGTGATTTCGATTCTTGAGATTCATTTGGCTGCACTCTCACTGCCATTGAGAATTTTGTTCCATCTATGCCAAACTGATGACTGTCATTCCCACTGCTATGGGAAAAATTCTGAGAAGGTGCCACACTCTCAAACTGGCCGCTCCTAGCTTCCTCTGCTTCTGGGTCCTTCGGCACAGTGGTTACTAGGTGCTTCCCATTGATGTACGTCACTGATGGGGTGGTGGTTTCATCAGTACCATTTGCACAGTCCGCGTCTTCCTCATCATCTTCTTCACTGGGGTATAGGTCTATTGCAAATAACCCAGGCAAAATTTCAGCAATTAGCTCATGATCTGGATCAAGTTCATCACTACAAGGTTCTTCTTCTTTAGATTCTGAATCTATTGGATGACCAATTACACTCAAATCACTCATTCGACCTGAAAAAAACAAAGAGTTTTCACAATACTTAAATAGAAGCTTTGGCAGTGTACAAAAGAAGAAATTGATAGCAACACTGACCACACTCACTCACTCACTCAAAGGATTCCAAAGTTTTCACATAAGTAAAGCCACCCTTCAGTACAGTTGTCAGTCTTCAAATGTGTGGTTACATTAACAATAGGAAAATAGAAATAAATCCAATTGAAGATTATAGAATCAAGTTATGAAAACTCTTCAATATGTTTAACAAAAGCTAAAAAAAATCTTTAAAAAGAAATGAGGGATATCAAATACATTGTAATCTTGATGTGGAAACCCAGCTTTGTATAAACTGTTGGGGGAGGGCGGGGGGGAGTGGAGGAGATGTTTAATCATTGTCATGGCAGTGGATCAAAGAGAGCAAGTTCCTGATTATTATCTCTGAATGTAAAGAAACGCTTAGACACCGCTGTTCAATAAGAAAATGAGATAAGATTCTTCCTGGCCCATTGTCGAACTCTGTACTAGAGAACACCATTTTTAAAAGAGCAACACTTCCGAAAACCAAGAGAGGTTCCTTACAGCCCCTTCATAGTGCAATGGCAAGTCCCAGGCGCTGCAGCACTGAGCTGCACAGGAGCCATGGAGGAGTCATAGCAAAAGCGCAGGATGTCCTGAGTGGATAGGTTTTCACAAGGATGGCTCTCTGAAAGAACCCGAAACAAGAGCCTGTACAGTTTGATCTTCTGTGGCAAGAGACCTAGATTGAGACAATCACAGTTCTTGTTATTGGTATTTTCCTCAAAGAGGGTTACAAGGCATGTCTTGATATTCAAACTAGCATACTGCAAATAGCATATATCCTCAGAACCTTCCCTAGCTTGCAAACCGCCATAGGGCACCTGCTACTAAGCCTATCGGCTGTTCTTCTACCAGGGCACCAGCAAAGCTCCCCCTCAGAACAGGCACTACAGGGATGGAAGATCTGGGGCTTCGCCTTCATCACAGTTGCCATCAGTTACCTTTGGGGAGCTTTCTGACAACCATAGGACTATACAGCTGGGCAAAGTGGCACCTGTGTATCACCTGGCCCATGGGGAAGACGAGGAGGGTCACTGTATGGGGAACGGGAGGGAAGTTTACTGGTGTCTTCCCCTTCTATCTCCAAGAACACTCTTGCAGAATTAGTCTGCAGCCCATCCCCCAGTCATGCTACACATGCTTAGCCAGAAACTGATGAGTTTATTAAAACTCCAGAAACCAATCTCACTGCCATCAAGTCAATCTCAATTCACAATCATCTGAGAGTTGGTGGGTTTGAACTGCTGACCTTGCAGATAGCAACCCCACTCGTATTCTACTACACTACCAGGATTCTTGATGGGTTTACAGGAGGCAAAAATATGGCAGTCTCATTTGTAGAGGAGAAAAGAAGAGTTTTCTCCTGAATTTCTCCTGTTTAAGATGCACCTTCCTTCCATGTGGAAAGGTACAGTACATCAGAAGAGAAAAAGAACATGGAACCAGTATGATTTGTATTCAGTGTCGCCATAGATATAGAGGTATATGAGCTACCAATACACCCTCTGCAGAAATTACCTTTTAATGTAAAAAACAAATAAGAAACAACAACTTGAGAGTTAAAAAACCAAATCCAAAAGACTTCTATGCAACTAGAAGACACATTTACATTCACTTTTTGCTCTAATAGAAACTATAAAAAAATAAACACTTCTCATATCATATCCTCACAGACAATCTTGACTAGGCTGCCATTGACCTTACGCTATGTCCTCTTGATTGAACTCTCACATATTCTAGCTTGTTTCTTATATCCACATTCATGCCACCCCATATTTTTAGCCCTTCAGCAAAGACTAATGGGCATTCAAATGAATGAAAAAGCTTTCCACATACAGAGAAGTTAGAGCAATGCGTAACTCTAGTCCACCATAAATGTTTAAAGTGGACTCAGGTTATTTCTGGTACAGACACGGAAAGCACTGCCAAGGTCAAGAACATGAGTAAGCTTTTAACATGTAAATTTTAAAAAGTTGATCTTGTACTGTAACAATACAATTGTTATTGTGATCATAAAAATACATAAGTCCAAGCTCATTGTCATCAGGTTGAATTCCAGCTCCTAGATAACAGTCACTTTATATAGGACAAAATGAACCTTCAGAAAATCTCACCTTCTTGATACCACTTGGCTAAAGGAGGCTTTAACACACACGCACGCACACTCACTCACACACACACACAGGTATAGATTATATAGGAGAATGTATTTTGCATAAATCTATGAAAGTCTTTTAGCAGTAAGTTTATCTAACCACCAAATCAAATGATCTATGATGGCTAATACTATTAAAATATAGTTGAAAAAAGCAGACTCAGTTATGCTATTCAGTACCGTCTCATGGGCTATAACTGTAGCTCTTAATTTGTTTCTGCTGTTGATTTACATGCAATGCTTTTACTCAGTTTTAACAGGAGTAAGAAAAATCAAAATTCAATATTAAGATGTATTTCCCACAAGTATACTAAATTCGTAGCTGTCTGTTAAATGCCACACTAGCCTTCATTTAAAGACAGAAGTCATTTTTAATTTGACGGATGGATCAATGTTAAGTAGGTAAAGGATTCTGACTACATTTTGTATCTTTTTTTAAATAACAGAGATAAAAATCAGATATATAGGTAGGCTTTCCCAGCCAAACAGGAGGATAAATAAAAAAATAACTGGTCAATATTATGTATTTATGAACTGTTTGCCAGAGTGAAACAGCATTTAAACTCGTTATTTTCAATTTATGAGATTCTAAATAAATTCAATTTTTGAAACTAAAAATCATATAAACCTACCCTCTGATATTCTAAGTTAATAATTACAGATGAAAGGCAAGCATTATGTTGAAGCTGCTAAAAAGGGGGGAAGTAGGACAGTGAAAAGCTGAAGGGAAGGTACGGAAGTGCATCAATATGCCAAAGGAAATTCTGAATGCTTTTGATGTGCATGTCAATAGTTGACAAAGCATGAAGAATTTCAAATAAAATTGTTTCCTGAGAAAGAAAACAAAAAAGATCTCTAACAAACAATTTATATGTTGATTTCCTTGACTTTATCGACTCATCAATTTTACTTCATTTTATGAATAAACAGTTTACAGTTTACTTTAGAGTCAGTCACTTTAGCTCCACAGCACAAATCATAGGATTCTTTTAGTTCTTTTTCTATTTATTGACTAGAGAACTGGAACATTCCCAATAGCCACAAATCTATATGAATGTTTTAGCACTGCGATACCAGGGGGGAAGGGGAAGGTGGGAGGAGAAAGGGGGAACTGACTACAATGGGCTACATATAACCCCCTCGCAGGAGGATGGACAACAGAAAAGTGGTTGAAGGGAGACAGCGGTCAGTGTAAGACATGAAAAGACAATAATTTATAAATTATCAAGGGAAGTCCAAAAAATGAGGAGCTGATACCAAGGGCTCAAGTAGAAAGAAAATGTTTTTAAACTGATGATGGCAACAAATGTACAAATGTGCTCAACACATGTATGCATGTATGGATTGTGGTAAAAGCTGGAAGAGTCCCAAATAAAATTATTAAAAAAAAGAATGTCTTAGCACTATAGACTATTCGATCATGTCAGGATATTTTATTGAAAGCCTCAACTACTAGATGCAGTACATCCTGTTTTCTAATTTGAGTATTACAATACCTCAATCACACATAGTGTAATTGTGATCATTGCCTATCCTCCCCACATAGTTCTAATCCATTCTGGCTACTGCAAAAACAATCAGATCACTACCATAACCATGCATGCTACTAGGAACCCACTGATGGCACAACATTTACTGGGTGACTATTATATAGCAAACCCTTTGGCATACACTTGCTTACCAACTCTATGGAGACTCAAGGTTCCAACAGTATCTATCTATCTATCATCTATCTATCCATCCAATTCATCCATCCATCCACTCCTCAAATATTCTTTCCAATAGGTTAGGTAACTGGCCTTACTAAACTATTTTCTATTTTAAAAATAAATTTGAGTGTACACATTGTAAATGTACCAATCATTAAAATCAGATAAAGATTCCTACCTCTACCCACTTTCCAATATCTGATGTGACTTGCCTTTGTTTATAAACAATCTAGAAATATTTCAGGTCACTTTATTTTATATGACTCATATGACCATGAAATCGGCAATGACCAAATAACTATTGGTACATCATTTTAAAATTGATCAAAAAGTAAGCATACATTTTTAATGTACATTTACAATGTATATTTAATAAGAAGATTTTCTACTAAATGGAAATTCTCAAATGAAACAAAGATACAAAATGAAACTTGAAATTATTGTTTGCTTTTCCTGAAAGGTATAGGCTCACAAATAAGCAACTAACATCCATTATTTAAATAAAATTTGTTAACTTCCAAATGGCTTCACTGGATTTTTTTTCTTTTAAATATCCGTGTGGGAGGAGAACTAGTTAATTACTTGAGATTATGACGTTACATTTTTCTGCTAAAAGATTGTGTACAGATCAATCTGCATTTTATTCCTTCAGGGTGGCTAGGCTAGTTCTCAGACTTTAAAAATTAAATGGGAGGGGAGAATGGAGTCTCCCTCCTATAGATAAAAGACTTTTCTCCCCCTCTACCCCACCCCCACCCCCATCAGCATTGCGTTCACCTCACCCACATTGCCATTTGCTTCACTTTGTTTATTCAGCCTCTAAAATTACTTCCTCGTCCCTCTTTCCTGTTACCACCCCAATTTGCCACACAGATTATTAGAAAGTTGCAAAGGCTATAATTATCGCAAACCAGAAAAGTTTCCGTGTGGAGTGTGGTGAGGGGACACCTGTGCTCTTGTGAATGTGGGTGTCTCATTCCAAAATTGCAATCTGCTCTATATGGTACTAACAGAGCAACCTAATGGAGTCATAAATGCTCCGAGCTTTTAGATGAACAAGTCTTTATGGAAA